CCCCCAGGCCTTGAAAATTCTGTTCTACCAGGGACGTTCACTTTAGTGCCTAGCTCCAGCATCCCCTCTGCTCCCCGTCCTCTGCCCCGCGGCACACCCTTATCGCAGCACTCACCCAACCACCTCGGTTTGTCCATTTACCTGTTTTTCTCAGTAGATCGTGAGCTTCTGGGGACAGCGTTAGAGTCTCAGCACCTAGCACAGCAATCCTAATAGGCACACATTTGTGGGTGGAATGTTTCTAGGAGGTTACGGGAGCTCTGAACAAAACTGTCCGCACGTGTCACCGTGACTGCAGCTACAGAGGAACCTGGCACACACGAAGAGCGAGCCAGAGGCTGCAGCAGTGCGGTCTGACCGTACCATGCAGGTAAAAAGGGCTGTCTGGGCACATCTCCGACTACTCAGTGGCCCTTAGAGTATCATGAACTACTAAGTTAGCTATTTCAGCAAGCTCCGAAATGCCCCTATCTTGAGAAAGTAGAGGACAAACCCTGCAGGAATGTCACTTTGCGGGCCCACCACATAATCACCACTCGTGATGCAGATTCCAGGTGGGAGCTCACGGTGCAGAACCCGGTGACTCCATTTAGGGATCACAGCAGTGGACACTACAGCAGTGTAGAGTAAGTTGGAAATCCAGGGATAAGATTTATTTTTAAAATCCTGGCTTTATTACTTACTACTTATGCGGCCCTGGGTTCATCATTTAATGAGTCCGTTATCAACCCTAAAAACAGAACAGCTAATATTCTCTCGTAGGGTTATTGAAAGAGGCACAGAGAAACGTGAGGGCTCTGTTGACTGTATTTTAATACATGGGTAAAACTACCATTTGAACAGTTTGAAACTTGCTATTATTACCAAGAGGCTAGACAAGGCGAGGTTTAAAAGATTCTTGCTTCTAAATATTAAGACTATTTGAAGGCTTAATCATTCAGCAGTAAGTTTCTTGCAGAGTAATGTTTTATTTTTTAAATAAATGGCTGAATGGATGAAACGCCTAGCAACGACTATGTGGTAGAGGACTCGCTGATCCCTGGAGTTACGTACTCTACACGAGTACCTCGGTCCCATCTGCAGTTAGGCTGTTGGTGGAAGGGATGTCTCTTCTGGACCTCGTCCTTAAAAACATCCTGCACCATCTGCCTGCCTGCCCTTTCTGACTGGGCGATGTTGGGGACCATGTGCTCCAGCTGAAGATGGAGGACTGCCCAAACCACATGGACATTACCTGAGCAAGAATCAAACTTCCGCATGAAGCCACACCAGCTCAGGGGTGGGTACTTAAATCACGACCGCTTCTATTCTAATACTCTGTTCAAGGAATCAAGCAAGTTAGGGCTAGAAAGACACCGTCCACCACAGACAAGGTTCCTACTCTTTTGAGAAAGAAATTGTGGGAGTCTAACCCCAAATTCAGTCCATTCACACCAGGAATAAAGCAGTATGTTACTTTTCATCAGTATTCTATACGTCTCAGTGTGCTATGTGCTGAGTATTATACTCGATACAAATATTTCTGAATCTTAAATATATGACTATCAAGGTGGAGCTTTACCAGGATCTAACATCTTAGGCATTACAATACTTCTTGAGGCCTCCAACATCCGTTCATTGTCAATAAAAACCTCAACCAGTCAAGCGAAAGTTTTATGAATCATAATTTAATCAATAACCCATTTCACTTTAATTAACATTCATTCCGAAAAATCATAGTCTTTAGAAAAAGGACCACATAGCCTATTTTATTATTCTTTCCTGCATGGCTTAAATCTTAGGATGCTTTTTAAAATTAGATAATAATGCATGTTTACACGGGAGAGAAAATCCTACAAGGCTTTGCAGATCAACATTTTGATTATAGACAAATAGCAAAATGAAACACCCTATTACATAGTACTTCCCATAAGAAATAATGCCAGGACGCTTAACTGGAGGCTTAGGCATGCTACTGTGAAAAGGAGGGGCCGGCCGATGACATGGTGGTTACAGTGGCTGAATCCCATTTGGCCGGTTCAAGCTCCGAGCCTGTGGCTTGAGAAACATGTAGAGTGCGCGCGTGTGGCCAAAATCTTGAGAGGAAGGAGGACAAGGGGTCATGGTGTGGCTGTCCCCTCTAAGAGATGCTTTCTACTTTCTCTGTCTCTGTTGTTCTCTCTGGTCGTACACTCACCCTGTAGCAAATTAAAAAGTTAAGAAATGGATAAGTGATCCTGTAGCAGAACCATCAGACAACAGTGTATGAACAGACTGAACACATGAACAGCATCCATCACTGTTTATTACAGTTTAGGCTTACAGAGTTGGTCTACCCAATTCAGAGATTCTTAATGGCAGGAAGTGTGCTTGTCTGTCTTATCCTCAGGGACTGGAAAGTAGTAACGCGCCCTAACGTACAGCAGGTACTTCATAAATGCTTATCAAAAGATTGAAAAAGTAAGGATGCACATAGGAGAAAGTATATTTACTACATTTCCATGATCCAAACTTAGAAGAATATGATTGACATTAGATAATATATACTTTGAAGATTTTAATAACAGGGCAATCCTGAAAGGATCTTGCTAACTCACAAGTGGTCCAGGCATACACACTGCAAAGCCTCTCCCAGGGTCCCAGGGGCTTTCAAGTGCTCCACCAGGGAAGGTCAAGACTGGACGCCACGGTACGCTCCCTCTCTCATCATGCACCAAGGACTGTGTTTCCCCATAAAAACCGTGTTATCACAAGCCTATGAACAATTTTGGCTAAGGTAGAAAATACAGAATTCTTTCCAAATAACAACAGTATTTCAATTATATCATGAGTAAGCCATGCACGGTGGACTTTCTGGTGAACCAATCTACTCATTTAATGCACTGCTTCTATAAGAAAATGCCTATCTGCTTAAGTTAAATTTTAGCAATGGTTTTCTGGTATCACTGGTTCTATTAAGTTTCTCATCACCACAAGTTGCAGACGCAAACATTAAAAAGTAAAAGTCTTATCTCAAATTTTCTTTTCAACCTTAATGCTCTGAAAATCCAAAACGGATATGCCATGTAAAAAACAAACTTGAGGAACAAAATATTTCAGATTTACATACTGGTGAATGAGAAAATGCCTGGTAGAGATGAGCGGGAGCACTCTGAAACTGGTACTGTGGTGTTGCCTTCCAACCACGGCTAAATGTAAGCTTGTGTTATTTGAACACATCTGTATTATTAGTTCATTGCAAATACCTAGAAATGAAGGACAACAAAATTTTAAAAGTTTTATGTGTGAAGTTAAAGGTTTTCCAGTATTGGAAACCATCCCAATATTCTTGGAAATTCAGGTGACTGGGGATCACTTTGGAGCTGGAACAGAAGCAAGTGATACCATTAGGCAAAACGTAGAATGTCCAGCATATCTATGCAGACATCTACAGTACGATGACACTGGCCTTCACTTTACTGTTTCTTGCACACCTTAGATTTTAAAGTGAAGTCTCAAGGAATTTTTCTTCCCAATATGAGAACTCGACCCACCTTAAAATGGAAACATACAACAGAAGACAGATCCTGCTTTCTAGAAATCCACTGTCATAAAATACTCTCTTAAAGGAAGAGATATACTTTAAACGTTAGAATGTTTATTCTGGCAAAGGACAACATGGAAATCTCCACGAAGGAAAAATTTTTGACAAGTAATATCACTGATGATTTTTTTTTTTTTTAAATTTCTGATTGCCTCTGACACATTAATGAAAAGCTAATGAAACCAGCTAGGTTTCTTCCTTAAGAATATGGTAGTATCTCTGAAACTTGTAACATTTGTCATATTATGAGCAGTAAAAAAGTGAACATGCATCAAGCTGAAGTAGTGTGTGACTAATGTTCCAGAGCAGCTCTCGGACTCTGACTACGGCTACTGTGTTAGGAGCAGGTTCACTGATGTCTCGTGAGATACTCTTAAAGGCCTTCTATTCGCCTGAAAAATGGCCGCCACTCCTCAGCTCCAAGCATATGGTGATAGGATGACACAGACAGACTTTTTATTTATTTATTTTTTTTATGATATGATGAATTTAAATGGAAGAGCCACAGACAGGGCGAGTGTATGACATGGTTGGAGAGAGAGAACAAGGGAAGGCAGATGGGTCTAATCTATAGTACCTAGCAAGGCCTGACTGTGTAGGCTTCTATGTACAGAGACAAGCAGGGTTAGGCACTTTGAGCTTTTTGATGAGAGTCCTGGGAAAGGGCCTGGGCCTACATTTATCATCATTCCTATCAATAACAGCATACCTTTCATGAAGAACATGCAATCAGAAACATTACAGAATCAGAAGAGAGACTAAGATTGTTCTGAAATGAAATGGCACAGGTTTGTCCAGAGTATCATAATATCTGCCATAGGGCGGGCGCCACCACGCCCAGTATCATAATATCTGGATTGTGACACTTGATGCTTTTACAATGTCTTATTTCTTTATCAATAGTGGTAAATATCTCATTGAAAAAATTATTAAACATCACTGGCAAGCCCCTAGATGGTATAGATGCCACTATGCTGGTACCCATCTGATAAGGTAAGTATCACCTTAAATAGCTTCTATTATCCAAATGTCTTAGACCAATCTTTTTAAATTGCTTTATTCAAAAGTACGTCTTAGACCAATCTTTTTAAATTGCTTTATTCAAAAGTACTTTAGTTATCTTGCTTCTATTACTCTATAATCGACCCTTTAAAAAATTATAATATCCTACAAATATAAAATAAAAATCTAACGCTGTAAAAATTTCAAAAAGGTAATGTTAGTACTGCTGATTATCTAAAGAATTCAGCCTCATGGAATAGCTTTAAATATTTATTGCCCGGATGGATTTAAAAAATTCTTGAATATAACATGGCAATGGTTCTAATACATCTGTAAACAGAATACCACTAAAAAAATTTTTATTGGCATGAGATATTATATGTATGGGTTGTGGGAAATTTTTAAATCTTAAAGCCTCTTAACATAATCATGTATATATGTACAAAACATACATAAATTTCACTTTATTTAAAACATATGAAAGAGGTAATTTCAAATCACACTAAACATAATAAATATAGAACTTGCTTTGTTAAAAATGTATAGTATACATTCAAGTAAAGGCTAAACTTCCAATGCCAACTATCTTTGAGACAAAAAAATTAAACATTTACAATAATAAGTTTCCTAAAAGTGCTATTTTTAAATACCTATAAGAGGAAACTCATTCTAGTGCTTTTGTTTCCATCCAAACATCTATACATTCCTTTATTCACAGAGCCAGATGCTTCTGTTACTAAAAATACATACCAAAGCTTTCATATCCTTTCAAATGCATTAACATTTCAGCTCTTTGGGGGAAGACAGGGAAGTCCAAACAAATAACTCAGACCATCTTAAATGAATAGAGATGACTGACTTTATGACAAACCCTGTTTCAACTGAGATGCAAAATTTGATCAATGTGTTCATGAAAAATTCTAGTCCACATAGCTACGGTAAGTCATCTTTTTCTACATGAGAGTTTGTGTAGGTCAAGGAGCATCCACCAGAGCCACCTTCCTGGGATCCGGGTCTAGATGCCACGCTCCATTTCTGATTTGCATATTCTCTTCCAACTTGATTTGGTTTCGTTTCTTCAGGAGTTATATTCAGTACATTGATGGAACTATTGGGAAAATAAAGGTATACTTTAATAATCATCCCCTCCTTCTTTTATACTTCAGGAATACCAAAATATGTCAAGTCTCATGGTCCCCATGTCCTATGTTTAATAAATTTTGCCTATACCTAGCAAATTTTGAGAACATACTGATCAAGAACATTAAAGAGCTTTTCTTTTCCTTTTTTAAAAAAAATTGTGCCAGAAGGCGTATGCACTCACTGGAGAGAGAGAGGGGGAAAGTGAAAAAGCATCCCTCATAAGGTTCAGTCACACTGCAATCCCTTCTCATGCTGAAATTGGGGCATGCAGGAGAGCGTATGTGTGCATGCTGCTCACACACACCTGCACACCGCGGGTACGTAGTTTTTTTTTTTTTTTTTTCCAGACTGACTTTGCAGTTGGCCATGTGGGATCCAGCTGTTCTAACCATCACACCATAAACTAGCCCTAAGTTTTTCAAAATGATCTAATTAATCACTTTTATATTATCTAGCCACCTGTTTATTTTCTTTATCCCTTTAGTCCACTTTAAAGCATGCTGCCCAACTGAAGCTTAAAGTAGGATAGAGAACATTAGGGATCTTGAAAGCTAACAATCCTGATTTCTCTTATCTTTCTGCCACTCTTTTCTAATCACTTTATGGTTTCTTTCTTTACTCATCCATTTGTTCATCCCTGCTTTCATCTCTTCATACATTCATGTAGATATTTATTGAGTGCCTATAAATGTGATTAAAGAGAGAACATTCTGAAGCTTGATGGTTTTGGTTCAACCTTATTTCCAACAAAGAAATCTGGTTAAATGATTATTTTAAAATCTAGGAAGTTGAGGCAATGAATAATTCATTTTTAAAAAGTAATTATTTTATTTATTATTACCTTATTTTTTAGAGAGAGATTTTTGCTATAGTATGTGTTCGCTTGCCAGAGAGATAGAGACAGAGATCAAGAAACTACTCATCAGGGGGGATGTCCAAGCCACAACCTCTTCTCCTCCATTCTCCACTCGGGATCCTGGGCACACATGCCCACGTGCCTGGCATGAGTTTTACGTCATTGCCAGGTCTGAACTCAAACCATGGTCAACTATGTGGGAGTCCAGCAACACACCCATTATGCCATGTGCTGGTCCCACTAATCTTTAATCTTTTTTTTTTTTTTCTTATTTTTTTTTTTTAAATCTGACCAGAGAGAGCAAGAAAGTCAGACACAAAAAGGGAAAGTGAAAAAGCAAGCCACCAGGTCCGGGACATGAACCACAGTCAGCCATGTGGGAGTCAGCACCTTAACCACCATGCCACCTACCAGTCCTGAATAATTCATTTTTATCTACTGAATACCTTATATAATTTTTACAAAACTTTTCTTGCGACTTTCGTATACTAACTTGACCTCATGATGTAGCAATCCTAAAAACAAAAAAAGCTGCTTTTATATCTAAAAACCAAAACCAAAAACCTTATTAAAATTTTCACTTACACTATTCACCAATACTAAGAAAAACCCTGTTTATCACAATTCAGTCCTTAGAATTCCTATACCTCAGAGCTGTCTCAGATGAAGTCAAAGACTAAGTTCTGTAAGTAACATGCTTGAGTTACTTGGCATGAATGCAAGGCCCAGCCTTTATGTAAAATTCTAGTCTAGGGGCTCGCAGGTGGCAAGATGGTTAAGGCGCTGTTATTCACCAATACTAAGAAAAACCCTGTTTATCACAATTCAGTCCTTAGAATTCCTATACCTCAGAGCTGTCTCAGATGAAGTCAAAGACTAAGTTCTGTAAGTAACATGCTTGAGTTACTTGGCATGAATGCAAGGCCCAGCCTTTATGTAAAATTCTAGTCTAGGGGCTCGCAGGTGGCAAGATGGTTAAGGTGCTGTCCATGGCTGACCATGGTTTGAGTCCTGGATCTGGTGGCTTACTTTCTTTCTCTCTCTCTCTCTCTCTCCCCCCTCCCCCCCTTTAGTGAGTACACGTGCTCTACAGCAAATTAAAAAAATAATAAAAACTAAATAAAAAAATCCATTCGAAAAACTCTATGATGAAGAAATGATGATACTGTGAAATTAGCTATTACTTACTTTGCTGTAATCTTACTATTATAAATCCAGATCCAAGGAGCTTCAGAAGCAAGAGTTCCAAATTGACTGAATAATTTAAAATTTCAACAACCACATCAAGCTGCAGTTTCTGTTAGCAATCCAACTCTTTGCTCTTTGATTCTCAAAATCTAGTAAGCACAAATGGTTTAATAGACCTCCTTTAGGCTCCAAAACTGTTTCTGTGCCACTGATGTTTTAACATGGCCCTCAGGATACGAGGCACAGCAAGGCATTTTTATAATACATGTGTTTACATATATTTTCATTTTTACAGCCTATCATTCAGTATTTACAGTGAACTCAGTACTATTCCAAGTTCTTTACATATATTTACATTTAATCACAGTACCCTATGATAAACTGGGTTGTTACAAAAGTCATGACTTTTTTTGTATGGAAAAACAGAAAAATATGTCACGACTTTTCTGACAACCTGGTAAGTACTAAATAAAGGACTTTTTATGCTATTAAACACCACATAATGCCCTGGGAGAATACTTATGTCAGATATTTCATAAGTAAAAAAAATGAGGCCAGCAGGTGGCATCATGGTTAAGGCTCTTGACTCACACGTGGACAACCATAGTTTGAGTCCCAGACTTGGGGGCTTAAAAATCATGCTGAGTGCGTGAGTACTGTGCCCAAAATCCCAACAGGAGAATGGAGAAGGGACTGTGGTGTGGCCACCCCCGCCTCCCTAACCCACAGGGCGATTTGTCACTTTCCCTCTCTGTCTGACTCTGGTGAGTGCATGTGGCCTACAGCAAAAACCTACACAAAACAAGTACTAGGTTGCTGGGAAAGTCATGACATGTTTTCTATGTAAAAAATGTGTCACAGTTAGGACCAGCAGTTGGCGTAATGGCTATGTCGCTGGACTCCCACATAGTCAACCGCGGTTTGCGTCCCAGACCCAGTGGCTTAAAACTCATGCCGGG